CGCCACAACGCCCGGCCATTTTTTGGTTGCAGCCGTCATTGTTGTTTGGCGGGTCCGGGCTGGGGATTCGAACCCACCACCTTAGGTGTACATGGCTGGCGCCTTAGCCGGTTGAGCTATAGGCACCGAGCCTCTGTTCCCTTTCTTAATGGTGTCTTTTAGCCACAAAGTTAAAAATTATTGTTGTTGTAGAGATATGATCTCACTATGTTGCCCAGGCTGGTTTTAAACTCCTGGCCTCAAACGATCCTCTTCCATTAGCCTTCCAAAAACCTGAGATTACAGATGTAAGCCAATGTGCTCAGCTTAAAGTTTTGATGAAGTCCAATTTGCCTACTTTTTCTTTGGCTACTTGTGCTTTTGCTGTCATATGTAACAACACTCCCTAATCCGAGTTCATGTAGATTTACTACTATGCTTTCTTCTAAGAGTTTTATAGTACAGGGCTAACAATTAGACCAAGCTGTAGTGTTCATCCCTTTTGAAGTAATTTCTGTATATGGTGTGAGGAATTATTTTATATGTAGAAACTCAGTTGTCCCAGTATTATTTGTTGAAAACACTATTCTTTGCTTTTTTTTTTTTTTTAAGACAGAACCTCAAGCTATTATCCTGGATAGAGTGCCACAGCATCTTCCAACTCTTTTTTTTTTTTTTTTGAGGCAGAGCCTCAAGCTGTCACCCTGGGTAGAGTGCTGTAGCAACACAGCTCACAGCAACCTCTAACTCCTGGGCTCAAGCGAGTCTCCTGCCTCTGCCTCCCAAGTAACTGGGACTTACAGGCGCCCACCACAATGCCCAGCTATTTTTTGGTTGCAGCCATCATTGTTGTTTGGCGGGCCCGGGCTGGATTTGAACCCGCCACCTTGGGTGTACGTGGCTGGAGCCTTAGCCGCTTGAGCAACAGGTGCCAAGCCCCAACTCTTGGGCCTAAGTGATACTCTTGCCTTCACCTCCTGAGTAGCTGGGATACAGGAGCCCACCACAATGCCTGGCTATTTTTTGGTTGTAGTTATCACTGTTTGGCAGGTCCGGACCAGATTCACCCCCCAGCTCTGGTGTATGTGGCTGGCACCTTAGCCGCTTGAGCTACAAGTACTGAACCTATATGTCTATTCTTTTGCCAGTACCATACTGTTTTGATTACTGTAGCTTTGTAGTAAGTTTTGAAAATGTGAAGTATTGGGCGGCACCTATGGCTCAAGGAGTAGGGTGCCAGTCCCGTATACTGGGGGTGGCGGGTTCAAGCCTGGCCCTGGCCAAAACTGCAAAAAAAGAAAAAGAAAATGTGAACTATTAGTCCTCCAACATTGTTCTCCTTTTTCAAGTGTGCTTTGGTTATTTGTATTTCCATAAGAATTCTGGGATCAGTATGTTAGGCTCTGAAAAAAAAATAGGCCGGGTGAGGTGGCTCATGTCTGTCTATAATGCTGGCATTCTGGGAGGCCAAGGCAGGTGGATTACCTGAGTTCACGAGTTTGAGACCAGTCTGAGCAAAAGTAAGAGCTCGTCTCTACTAAAAAAATATAGAAAAACTGGGAGTGGGGGGTAGTGGAATGAGCAAGTGGGAAGAGGGGAGGAGGGACGGAGATGGGGGGGGGG